ACTGAAAGATGCTATGAACCTATGGGAAAAGGGATTCTGGGAGGTTCTTTTTTTTTTCAAGACAGGATTTTTCTGTGTAGCCCTGGCCATCCTGGCACACACTCTGTAGACCAGGCTGGCCTCAAACTCACAGAGATCCGCCTGCCTCTGCTTCCCAAGTGCTGGGATTAAAGGCGTGCGCTGCTGCTGCCGCTGCCGCCGCCGCCGCTGCCACCGTTTGCTTGCCTGCTTCTTGGCCATGAGTCAAGCAGTTCACTCCACTGCATGCTCCCATCATTACTAGCCAGCACTGTCACCAGAGGCCCCACACAAATGGGTACGCAGAATCAATGACTCAGCAGTTCAGAACACTGGCTGCTCTTGCAGAGGAACTGGGTTCGATTCCCAGCACACACACACACACACACACACACGTGGCAGCTAACTACCTGCAACTCTAGTTCCAAAGGATCTGATGAGCTCTTCTGACCTCCATGGTTGGCACCAGGCACACATGTGGCAAATATACATGCAGGCAAAACATTTCTACACCAAAAAAAAGAAAAATGGGTATACTCAACCATGGCCTGGAACCTGAGTCAAGCCAAGCATACTGATACATACCCGCAGTCCCAGCACTGAGGAGGCTGAGGCAGGAGGTTCATGAATTAGAGGCCACTCTGACTGTGTGTCACAAATTTAAGCCCAGCCTAAGGTACATAGTTAGATTCTGGCTAAAAAGGGGTGGAGGGTACAAAGAGCCAAAATACATTTTTTTAAAGATTTATTTATTATGTATACAGTGTTCTGCCTGCACACCAGAAAAGGGCACCAGATCTCATTATAGATGGTTGTGAACCACCATGTGGGTGCTAGGAATTGAACTCAGGACCTCTGGAAGAGCAGCCAGTGCTCTTAACCTTTGAGCCATCTCTCCAGCCCCGCCAAAATACATTTTTTTCTTTGTAAGTCCAATATTTCAAGTATTTTGTTATAGTGGTACAAAAAGCAACAAATTTTGTGTGTTTCTTAAAAAAATAAAATCAACCACAAAAACCTTTTCTTTAGTGGGCCTTGGTGGCTCACTACTTGGATAGCTGAAGGCCGGCCGTGGCTACATAGTGAGACCCTGTCTCAAGAGAAAAACAGAATGGGGAAGAGGAAAGGGCTTGCTGCCAACCCTGATGACCTGAGTTCAATCCCTAGGGGACCCACATGATGAGAAAGGAGAACCAATCCCCACAGGCTGTTTTCTGACCTCTACATGCATGCTGCCCTGCACCCACGCCCACCCACCCCCATACACAGAATAAATGAATACAATGAAAAAAAATTAAACGATGTCACCCATAGTCCAAACTGGTAGTATTATCAAGTAGACGAAGGTTTCCAAAGATGTGGCACTTTTAAGAAGCTGGGTGGGGGGAGCCTCAGATCGAATCAAGAAGAGATCTGTCACCTTTCCTATTGAGAGACAACTCCTAGAAAGGGCCTATCCATGGTCTGGGGTGCCAAGCTTAGAGGTACACAGATAACTAAAAAAAACCTGTTATGATGACAAAGGTGTTCCAAACCATGTCCCACGGTGTCAGGGAATATCTTTACACTCTGTGAAGATGTGTCACTGTGACTGGTTTAATAAAAAGCTGAACGGCCAATAGCCAGGCAGGAAGGTATGGGTGGGATTTGCAGACAGAGAAAGCTCTGAGAAGAAGAAAATGCAGAGTCGCCAGACAGAGAGGAAGCAGGATGGGGAGGAGTTCAGAGCAAGAGTAACCAAGCCACATAAAAGAACGTAGACTAAAAAATACGGGTTAATTTAAGTTATAAGAACTAGTTAGGAACTAGCCTAAGCTAAGGCCAAGCTTTCATAGTTAGTAGGAAGTCTCCATGTCATTTTTTTGTGAGCTGGCAGCCCAAAGAAAAAATCCATCTACATCACAGAGATTACAGAAGATAAATAAACAGATGTACAGAAACCTGGGAGAGTCTAGCCTTCTGTTGGCACAACGCCTTCCCCGGGAAAGATGTAAACAACCTCTACTCCTCCTCCTAAGATCCCAATGACAAAACAGGGTACCATTCCGCGGATGCTCACTCTGGAAAACCAATGAGTTTATTGGATGAACTTGCGGAGCAAAGGTGCCAGAGTACAGGCAGAAACATGGAAGTCTTGAGAGCAGCCACACTGGAAGGTCTGCACCCAACAGAGATAACATCTCCCCTTGTACTCCCCCAGCAGTGTGAACTAGCCCCTCCCCAAACCCCAAGGCCACGTGCAAGGGGAGGGCAGAACGGCACACAACTCATTGGGAGGAGTTGGGAGTGGCCCCAGGATGCTCCCCAACCCTTCTTGTATGATGTGGGGTCCACGGTCAACAAGCCCGGCTGGGATGATCTTTTGCAGGTGAGCACAGCTGTTCTAATGAAGATGGTGGCAGTTTGGTTAGGAGGAGATTCAGGTACACCCTCCAAACAGACGTGTGAGGGAACACAGACAGCATGCCGTGGAGACAGATCCAAGGAGAATTCACCACTTCTCCGGCCTCAGGTGGGCGCGTCCAACCTTCTGACGCTGCAACACAATATTGTTCGCACGGAGAACTGTACACCTGAGTCATCAAGAAGAAATCTCAGTTTATAGTCAGTATGTGGTTTTGTGCCAGGCCACATTCAGGGCTATTCCGGATGTATGTAGATGCCTTTGAGGAGATGGACTCCCAGGAAAAACTGCTATAAGCTACAGGAACTCTCCAGACAAGGAAATGGGCAAAGGAAAATCTGCAAATGTTTTCAGAGACTCCTAACCCTTCACAGCCACTGTAGAACCCCAGCCATGGATGTCTCCCATAAAAAGCCAAAAGCAAGGATGTAAATGCCTACTATGTGCCAAAGTAATCAAGTAGGATCATTGGAAAGATGCTGCAGGAAAGAAGGTGGCCTGGGCTTGACCAAAGGACACCATACCCTCATCCCTGCCATCAGGAAACAAAGGCTACTTAGCCAGTGAGGTGCCTTACAGCCAAACACTAGTTGAGTATTTTCTAGGAAGTGAAGAAGTCTGTCTCAGCCGCAATACTATGCTGCCACAGGGTCATTCCGAGTCAAAAATGTGGTCTCACAACAAGAAGCAAAAGTGTCACATGGGAGCTTGCTAGAGAGGTAGGTTCTTGGGTGGCTCACAGTCCTGGAAGAAGTATTCCTTTGAGATATTCAAGGTTCTGTAAGGGAGGAAATCAAATATCGTGGTCCCCCTGGGGCAAGTCTCTCACTTCAACGTCAGAGAAACGCCTGGAAGTTTATGTGAGTCTGGATTTCAAGGCCCTGGCTGTGAGAATCCTGTTCTAAAACTTCACCTCTAGCCAATGGCCTGAGTTCATTCCATACCCTGTCCATGGTTACTTGTGGAGAACAAAGTAGAAGCCATGTCCAGAACGCAGAGAGGGAAAAACCAAGACACAGCTATTGTTATATTGTCATAGCGGTAACTGACAGGAACCCAGAACCACCTAGGAGGCCAGCTTCTGGGAGCTTCTGGGCATGTCTGTGAGGGGATATCTAGACTGTATTCATTGAAAGTGGGGCATGAAAGAGCCATGGGCAGCACCACCTCCTGGTCCAGAGTCCCAGGCTGAACGGAAGGGAAAACACAAGTTCTAACACCAGTGTTCATCTCTGTTTCCTCACTGTGTCAGCCACCTCCCATCCCACTACCTTATCTTTCCCGCCACCATCAACACACCCCAAATTGTGAGCCACAGTAAGCCCCTCCTCAAGCGGCTTCTGTCACAGCAACAGGACAAGTAACTAACACAGTGATCATCTTCCATTTTTTCCAATTTTTATTACATTTGTTTATTTGTGTGTATGTGCCATGGCGCCCACGTAATCAGAGGACAACCTTCTGGGTTCAGTTCTCTCCTTCTACTATGTGGGTGGGTCCCAGGGATCGAACTCAGGCTGTGAGGCTTGGCAGCAAGCGCCTTGACCCCCTCAGCCATCTCAGCCGCTCTCCCCTCCCCCAACCCTCCTTCGGTGCTGGTGAGCACACACAGGGCCTTGTTACCATTGGACACACACCCCTAACCCCATGACCGTATTCCTTAATCACAGATATATTTATCACGTACTCAAGTGTAGTGCCAAGTACACTGTAAAGTGCTTTTTAAATCCCCTGTCTTACTCAACCTTCGTAATAACCCTGTAGGGTAAGTGCTATCATTTCCTTCTCCCACTTTACAGATAAACCTGAGACTCCAGCATAAGTGAGCTCATGTCCGCACAGTTAGTAAACGGGGCACGGGGTCTCTGCGCCCTAGTGGTTCAAGTTCTCGACCGCTAAGCCCCAGGCCTATCTCCCACTGAGGAAATGACTTGCTTTTCCTACCCTTGCAGCACACAGACGAGGCAGTCTGAAAGCTTTCAGGTCCCCACCAGCCAGGCTCACCACCTTATCTAGGGACACGGCCAAGCTGCTGGCGGGGCTCGCTCAGACACAGGTGCACCCGGGGCTCAGATCTCAGCCCTCCATTAGGCTGTGTTCATTACACAGGAAGACTCCGAGGTCATGCTTTCAAACCCTAGCCCTTGCCTCATTATCTGCCCCTAGCATCAGCGTTCTTCCAAGTCCTGTATTGACTCGCTGTGCTCCTGGCTGCCGGCCCATCTCCATTAGATCCCAGGCATTTGAGCAAAGCACACAGCTATCCAGTTCTGACTGAACGGAATTGACTCGCCATCCCTCCTCTATAATTTTGGGCAGAGTCTGAGAGGATTTAGAAGGTGTCATTGACTTGGAATTACAGTTCATTGTTACAGAACGAATTTCCGGACTCTGCTGAAGAGAGCTGGGCACCACCCCTCCCATACACTTACACAAGCAGCTTTGTTCCCATCAAAGTGTCCTGTGCTCACTCGCTCAGGACGGTGCTGATTCTCAAGGCAGAGCTGTATCAAAGAAAACTCGCCTTCCTACGGCGCATCCCATCTGCGCCTTCATGTGAGCACCCATCTTGGCCTGTTATTCTCACTCCAGCTTCTAACTTTTGCATATGTACACTACAACCTCTTTGCATGCCTTTGTCTGATACAGGCGGCCAAGTCTTTAAGTCCGGCTATTTTGCACAGCAGCATGCTAGGCTCTTTGTCCTGTCGAGATGACATGAATCACCACGGACAAGGTTGGCCGCTGACTGACTGTATTTTCCATATCACTCATCTGTCACTTGCCCAGAGTGAATTCTCTCTTCCAAACATGGGCACTTATTGGAAGGGGGGACTTGGAGGACCGCTCTAAGCCTGAGGAGATCTTGAAGCAGATGGTGCTGAGTTTAAAAAAAAAACCAAAAAACAAAAAACATAACATCCCGGCTTCAGCCTCAGAAGATGTGACAATAAAACCCACCCCCATGAGGTTGGCCTAAGCCGCTAATCCCCTGGCACAGCTGGAAACGCAAATGTCTTAGAGCTCAGGGCCCCCAACTCACCTGGCAGGACAACAGGCCCCTTCCTTAGCTACCCTGTTACCTCTCACTCCATCTTGCAAACCGCTTAAGGAGAATGAATGTTAGGGGTGTTCAAACAAACCTGCCTGAGAAATTGGATAAAATCATACAATTTTCTTACAATGACCATAACAATAAAGACATACCAAAAAAAAAATCCTTGGTGATCCTGGCTAGAAAAAGCAAGGCATTTCCTCCAAGTATTTTTTTAAACAAAAGTTGTTCAAAGTTTTTAATTTTTAAAGCCAGGCAGTGGTGGCGCACGCCTTTAGTCTCAGCACATGGGAGGCAGAGGCAGGCAGATCTCTGTGAGTTCGAGGCTGGCCTAATCTACAAAGAAGTTCCAGGACAGCCAGGGCTGTTACACAGAGAAACCCTGTCTTGAAAAACCAAAATGAAAAAGAAAAAAAAAGTTTTAACTTTTAAAATTTATATTATGCTCTGTGCGTATGTGTGTATGCGTGCGTGCGTGTGCTCATGCAGAGGACAACTTGAAAGAGCTGGTTCTCTCTCTCTACCTTATGTGTGGGTCTCAGGGACCAAACTCAGTCTGAGTTATCTCACAAACTCATAAAACATTTTTTAAATTTGTAGGTGCTAATAGAGTGATTATTATTATTATTATCATTATCATTATTATTATTATTATTATTATTTAGCAGTCTTTTAACCCCAGCACTCAGGAGGCAGAAGCAGGTGGATTTTTGTGAGTTCCACGCCAGCCTGGCCTATGATAGGATTTCTAGCCATGACCCCATGACCGCACATGTGCTGGTGAGACGCAAGTAGAGATGTACAGACAGAGGGGAATACAGTGTGACTTGTTGGTCCCACTGCAGCTTCCATGACAAGATTATTAAATCCTTCCCTTTTTTTAAATTTTTCTCATTTTATTTTCTTCATTTTTCTCTCTGGAATCTTGTTTTATTGAGGGAAGAGTGCAGGGGTGGAGGGCAGATGTGAAGGGATGGGGAATGAATGGGTTCAAGATACATGATGTGAAAAACACATAGAATAATTTTATTAAAAATTATACATAAATATGTGTGTGTGTGTCGAACAGTGTCCAGCACATGGAAACACTATATAAATTTTTCTAACTATTACCACCTGTGGAGGTTTGAATAAGAATAGCTCCCACAGGCTCATATATTTGAATGCTTTGGTCTTAGTGAGTAGCACCACTTGAGAAGGATTAGGAGGTGTGGCTTATTGGAGTAGGTGTGACCTGGCTGGAGGAAGTGTGTCACTGAGGGTGAGCTTTGAGGTTTCAAAGCCCAAGCCAGGCCCAGTATCTCTCTCTTCCGGCTGCCTGCCGATCTGGATGTTGAACTCTCAACTTCTTCAGAACCATGTCTGCCTGCATGCCACCATGCTCCCTGCCATGACAATGGATAAACCTCTGAAACTGTAAGCCAGCCCCAATTAAATGTTTCCTCTATAAGAGTTGCCATGGTCCTGGTGTCTCTTCACAGCAATAGACCACTAAGATATAATCGTTACTTTTTAAGCATGGTGTAGAAAAGCAGTTCTTAACCTGTGGGTCGGTCGCAAGCCCTTTGGGGCCCAATGACCCTCTCACAGGGGTCACATATCAGATATCCTGGATATCAGCTATTCACATTACAATTCATAACAGTAGCAAAATTACAGTTATGAAGTAGCAACAAAATAATTTTCTGGTTGGGGGGGTCACTGTAACATGAGGAACTGTATTAAAAGGTCGCAGCATTAGGAAGGTTGAGAACCACTGATATAAAACAATAAATGCTTCTCCTCAGAGGGTCCCATCTAAGACAACACTGAAACTACATCAGCCTGGGATACAGTCATAGGCCTGTATACCTCAATCCCCCTGGCTGTGAAGACTGCGTAAGAAATCTGTGTCCAGCTTCCAGCAGCCAGACCCATGTGGGCGCTAGGTATGAGGATCCTCAAAGGCACACCCATTGCCACTCTCCTCTCCCCCTCTCCCTCCCTCCCTCTCTCTCCATTTCCCTGCTCCATCCTCTTCTCTCTCACACATGCTTACACCAAGCTCACACACACCCTGAGGATTTTCTGCCAGGCAGGTGGAAAAGCCCAGAATGCCTTCTCAGTCTGCACTTTTAGTCAGAGACATTCTGGGCACAAAGAGCTGGGGGGGGGGTCCTGACTCTGCTTGGAAATTCAAAGCATTTTTGGCCTTGGGGCTATTGTGATAGCCCCATCCATAGCAGGCCACAGGTTCCTTAGGGTTGGCATGGCTGGGTATGTTCACACTAGTAAGGCAGCCCAGAGCTGAAGGGTTAGCTGAGAGGCAATGACTTCCTGAGCTGATGCAGGTCTACAGAGAACAGCCTGGTCCCTTGTTCCGTGACTGTTTCTCACCAGTCCATGCAAGCCCCCTCCCTATTCTTCCACATACTGCAGAGCATTGCCTCAGGCCCTTCCTCCCGTTCCTCCTGAGCTACCACTTATGCATCTGCTAGCACTTAACAACAGGAGGCTTAATTAAAAGAAAGAAAAGAGAGAGAGAGAGAGCTAGAAGGCGGAGGGAGACAGTGACTAGGAAATGGAATTGTATCTCCAATCCGTATTAAACTCTTCCTTTCCTCGTTGACTCCTTTAATCTACCCTAATTCCTTCCAGCTGCTGGGCTGTCCTTCCCATAGAAATAACAAAAAGGAACAGTTACGAAGCACTGTCTTTGGGGCCCTTCACATCCATACCTCTCAACAATCCTATGTACAGATGTGATTTAACCACTTCTGACGGTGATGAGAAACACCCCGCAATCAAAAAGGGAGGTTACGAATATTCCCAAACCAGCCAGTCCGTGGTGGCACATGCCTTTAATCTCAGCACTCAGGAGGCAGAGGCAGGTGGATCTCTTGTGTTCAAGGCTAGCCCACTCTATAGAGCGAGTTCGAAGTTTTTGGTTTCTCAAAAACCAAACCAAACCAACAAACAAAAAATCTTGCCCAAGATCACACAGCTTGTGGCTGGTAAAGCCAGGAGTCAAAAAGGCATCTGTACCTCCAAAGCCCATGGTCTTAACCACCTGAAGGAATCAGCCTCCTTTCCCATGGGCCTGAAGTTGGGCTTTTCTAGGATGTACCCTGGGCTAGAAACCATGGGAATGAAACCCCTGTCTACAACAGCCTCTGACTCTTAGTGGACACTGCATCTTGCCTCCCTGGACTCCAGTTTCTGTGCACTCTACCTCTAAAAAGGTATTTGAAGGTAAAAACCAGACCAGAAAGGTGAAAGTGACACATTTTAGGAAAACGCTACAAAAATCCGCGAGGATCAATTTTTTGAGACATCTGAAACGAATTCAGACAGTAGTCTTTCCCGTCAGGTGTGTCTTCTTAATTTCTATGGTGCTTTTTAAATTACAGAAGCAAAGTGAGCTCATAACAAATAGCAAAACCTTCTCATTTGGGGCAGGAAGAGATGGCTCAGCGGTTAAGAGCACAGGCTGCTCTTGCAGAGGACCCAGGTTCAATTCCCAGCAACCACATGGCAGCTCACTGTTCCAGGGGAGATCTGACCCCTTCACACAGACATACATGCAGGCAAAACACCAATGCACATAAAATAAATCTTAAAAACAAACCAAAAACACAACTCATTTTGCTCAACATTGCATTTATTTATGTATCTCCACATTGATCTGCCCAGAGCCATCTGTCTCTTAAACTAACACAAGTAACTGCATTATATGCATGGATTGAGATCTACTTACCCAGTTTCCTGTCGAAGAACATTTGGCTCATGACTCTTTGATGTTGTAATGGCCGTGGACTATGTGAAATCGCTAAAGGCAGCCAGCCTAGGAGGAAAAAGTGAAAATACTTGTCACTTGTGTATCTGGTCAGGGGTTAATTTCCAAAACACGTAAGGAACTTCTACAATGCGACAACAACGACGACGACGAAAATAACAACAAAAAGTAACAGTCCAACTTAAAAGCAGACATTTCTCTAATGGAGACACACCAAGAGCCAAGAGCTACATGAAAAAATGTTTGTTAGGTGGATGTCATGGCCCACACCTACAACGCTGGCGCTTGGGAGGTGGAGGGAAGAGGATCCCAAATTTGAGACCAGTTTGGGCTACACGTAGAGACTCTATTAGGATGAGGAGGTGGGAAAGAAGAAAAGGGGGGAGGGGAGAGAAAGAGGAGGAAGAGAAGAGGCGGGCAGGAGCAACAGCAGCAGAAGCCACTGCCTTACCAGAACCTATCAGCACAGCTATTTTTTTTTTTTTGAGCTGAGGATCGAACCCAGGGCCTTGCGCTTGTTAGGCAAGCACTCTACCACTGAGCTAAATTCCCAACCTCAGCATAGCTACTATAAAGGAATAGAAAGCAGCAAGTTGGCAACTTCCCAGCAGTTAGGGAGCTGGGAAACTGCATTGCTGGTGAGATGATAGCAGCCACTGTGGAAAATGGCATGGCAATGCACAACCCTTAAAGCTAGACTACCTGTCTACCCAACAAGCCCGCTGCTGGGTATAAATCCAAGAGCACTGGAAGTGGGATCTGGGCCTGGCAAGATGGCTCAACAGGAAAAGACACTTGCTTTTGCAAGCCTGACCTGAGTTTGATCCTTGGAAACCATGTAAATAAAGACAGAAGGCGAGAACCAACTCCACAAATTTGTACTCTGAACTCCACACATGCACTGTGGCATACACACACACACACACACACACACACACACACACACACACACACGCCCTACATCACATACAGATACACAATAAATAAATAATCTCAGAGAGACAGTAAAAGCACATCATATTTTCAGCACTATTTGTCATAGTAAAAACGTAGAGAACCACACACCTGCACCTACAATCTCAGCACTCAGGAGAAAGGTAGAGGCAGGATCAGGAGTTCAAGGTCAGCCTGAGCTCCATAAGACAAGTCTCACAAAATCAAAATTAAAGAGATCTGGGGACAACCTAAATATTTATTTAGGAATGAACAGATTCTTCTGGATAAACTATACAGATAAAACAGAAGTGTATTCAACCTCACACTTTTAATCCCAGCATTTAGGAGACAGAGGTAGTCAGAGCTCTGATCTACATTATCTGCATATCAAGTTCCAGACCAGCTGAGGAAAAAAAGAGACAATGGCCAGGCGGTGGTGGCATATGACTTTAATCCCAGGCAGAGTCAGGCGGCAAAGTGAGATCCAGGACAGGCACCAAAACTACACAGAGAAACCCTGTCTAAAAAAAAAAAAAAAAAAAAAAAAAAAAAAAGGAGAAGGGAAGGCAGGCAGGCAGATAAGAAAGCAAAAAGAAAGTCAGGCATAGCAGTGTACACCTGTAATCCCAGCACCAGGGAGACAGCAGCAAGAGTTTGAGGCTAGCCTGGGCTACACAGGAAGATCCTGTCTCAAAAACAAAGAAATTAAAAAGAAAATCTCTAATCTCTAGCTAACAGTACATATGATGACTATTGTTAAGTCCACTTGACAGAAGTAGAATCACTAGGAGACCAGGTTCTGGCCATGCCTGTGGGGGCTCTGAGGTGGGACAATCCACTCACTCTGGATGGTGCCATTTCCTGGCAGTGTGGAGATGGAAAGCCGAGCGAAGTACCCGTTCTTTCTCTCCTGCCTGACTATGGATGCAATGGGACCAGGCATTTCAAGCTGTGAGCCAAAATAAACCACTTCTCCCCTGAAGTTCTTTTGTCGGGTATTTTTGAAAGCAGCAGGAAAAGTCACTACAATAGCATTTGTCCCAGTAACCTAGAAAGTATCTGAGTTACAGCTGTTGGTGTTATTACTGAAATGGAACACACGTTCAGCTTAACAAAAGAGCCAATTCATATAATGTCATAAATAATAAAAGCTGTTGCCAGGCGGTGGTGGGGCACACCTTTCTTTAATCCCAGCGCTCTGAGTTCAAGACCAGCCTGGTCTACAGAGCGATCAAGTTCCAGGACAGCTAGAGTTGTACAGAGAAACCCTGTCTCGAAAAACCAAACCAAACAAACAAAAAAATTAAAAGATGATAGAGGAGGAAGAGCTGTGAGGGTAGCTCAGAACCAGCGTTATTAGTCACTTGTCTTGCTGCGGCTAGAAACTAGCCGACAAAGACAACTGAAGAAATGGAGGCGTGCGGAGCTGGAGAGATGATGGCTCAGCAGTTAAGAGCACGGGCTGCTTTTCCAGGGGACTCAGGTTCAATTCCCAGCACCTACATGGCAGCTCACAGATGTCTGTAACTCCTCTTCAAGGAGATCTGATTCCCCCATACAGACACATGTGCAGGCAGAAATCTATGTACATAAAATAAATAAATATTTAAAAAAAAGAAAGAAAAGCAACAGAAGGCTGGACTGGAGAGATGGCTCAGAGGTTGAGAGCACTGACTGCTTTCCAGAGGACCCAGGTTCAATGCCCAGTGCCCACATGGCAGCTCACAGCTGTCTGTAACTCTAAGATCTGACACCTCGCACGGACATACATGCAGGCAAAACACCAATGCACATAAAATAAAAAGAAAAAAAAAGAAATGGAGCATTTATTTTGGACCACAGTGCAAGGGTACAGTCCATAATGTCAGGATGTCAAGGAGGCAGGAGCTTGAAGCAGCTGGTCCCATCAGATCTGAGGTCAGGAAGCAGAGGGATACCGGTGTGCAGCAGGCCTTCTCCTTTTTATTCAGTCCTGGACCTTCATTTAGGGTGTCTCCTTGAACCTCAATAAGCCTAATCTAGAGACTCCCTCCCAGACATGCCCAGGTTGCTTCCACAGTGACTCTAAACCCCATCAAGTTAACAATCAAGATTAAGGGCCACAGCTAGCAGGCTCTGGGTTCAATTCTCAGCATCCCATAGGGGAGAAAAATCCACAGAGTAGGCATCTCCTGCCCTTGAGGATTGGCTATTTCTGTGAGCAAACACATTCATAAACGTGTTATCCATCATGCTTTCATGTTAAGAACTACAGTGAGACTCACAAGACCACCTTACTCTGAAGGGCAGGCCCTGACAAGAAATACCCGAGCACAGACTAAGAAGGAATGGGCCAGGATGAGAAGCAGCCAGAACGGAAAGGGCAACCTAGGCACGGTAACAAAATCTCCAGAAGTTTCATCTCATAGAACACATCCAGGGGCCTCTAGGAATTCATAGAGCTCAATACAGGAGTAGGGATGGTGACATGACTCAGTGAATTACATCAGTTGCTACCAAACCTGATGATCGAGGTCAATCTCCAGGACTCACGTGGTGAGAGACCCAACTGTTCCAAGTTGTCTTCTGACCTCCACATGCATGCAATGGCACACAGAGACAGACAGACAGAGACAGAGAAATACAGAGAGCGAGAAACAGAGACAGACAGAGAGAGAAAAACAGAAATGGACAGAGAAAGAAAGAGGGAGAGAGAGAGAGAGAATATCCAACAGGGATGTACCCGAAAGAGTGTGGAAAAAGGCTGGAATGTGTCTGCTAAACATCCTGCCTTGAAGATGAAGTACAGAAACAGAGACTGCGTGTTCTCATAGAAAGCGTCTTGGCTGCCCCTGCGTGTGCATTCAGCCATCTATAAATGGTCACTCGTGTTACCTCTGGGCCTCAGGTTTAGGAACAGAGCTGCTGTGTGTGAGCAGACACTCAACCTGCTTCCTCACTTTCTTTCCTGTTAGGCATATATTCAGCAATGGAATGACTATAGACTATAAGAGATGGATGCTAAGTCCTTATAGAAACTGCTTTCCAAAGTGGTCGCACCAATACGAGATGGCAGGAAAAGGAGAACGTGCGAAAGTGCCTGATACGCGTGTGTGAAGACGTCAAGGAACGCTCTTTTATGCTTATGTAAAAACTGAAAAGCAAAAAGGTGGTTGAGTCGTTCTACATTCTTGTCAGTAGGGCATCAAGATTAATACCTTCTCCCTTGTCAACACTAGTAAAATCGGTCTCTTCAATTTCTGTGCATTTTTTTTTTTTTAGTTTATTCATTTTTATTTTATGGACACTGGTGTTTTGCCATGGTTGTCAGGTCCCCTGGAACTGGAGTTACAGACAGATGTCAGCTGTCGTGTAGGTGGTGGGAATACAACCGGGGTCCTCTGTAAGCACAGCCAGTGCCCTTAGCCTCAGAGCTCTCCCTGCTGTGGAATAATCCTTCTATACACTGTGGAAAATGTGTTGCTCTCGTTGTTAATAAAAGCTGATTGGCCAATAGCTAAGCAGGATTTTGGGGGCAGAAAGCATGCTGGGAAGAAGAAGGGTGGAGTCAGAGGAGTTGCCAGGAGATGCAGAGGGAACAAGACATGCTGGAGGAAAGGTAAAGCCATAAGCCACGTGGCAGAATATAGATTAATAGAAATGGGTTAATTTAAATTTTAAGAGCTAGTTAGTAATAAGCCTGAATTATCAGCTAAGCATTTATAATTAATATTTAAGTCTCTTTGCGGTTATTGGGAGCAACTGCCGAGACATAGAAAAACTCCACCTACATTTCTCCTGCCCCCACTTATAATAACATTTAAAAACAAAACAAAACAACGACAAAACCAATGGAAATCCTTACATGAAAAACAGCCAGGCGGTGGCAGCGCACATCTTTAATCCCAGCACTTGGGAGGTAGAGGCAGGCAGATCTCTGAGTTCAAGACCAGCCTGATCTACAGAGCAAGTTCCAGGATAGCCAGTGCTACACAGAGAAACTGTCTTGAAAAGCCAAAAGAGAAAGAGAGGGAGAGGGAGAGGGGGA